AATATATATTTAAAAATATATAACAAGCGGGATCGATCAAACCAACAGCAGGAAGAAGCAGCAATTTGGAGGCAGCAGCAAACATCGAACATACCTGCACGAATCATACAAGCATACACATTGAACACATATCGTGAGAAAGATGTCGATACCGAGCCGACAGGGCCTCATATTGGATACGCTCAAGCACAAGATCCAGTTGGCCAAGAATGATCTGGACCGCTATAAGGAGGACTACAGCCGCTGCCAGGCGATGCTGCAGCGCGAGGTAAATCGTCGCAGCCAATTGGAGGAGAGCTTCATGGAGCTGCAGCACCGCAACGTGCAGCTGGAGGATGAGCTGAAGCTGGCCCTGAATCATGCCGCCAGCCATCAGCTGATGGTGCAGGAGGCGCGCGACGCCCTCAACGAGAGCGATCGGCTGCGCAAGGCGCTGGAGCAGCGCGACCAGCTGCAGTCGGAGAAGATCGAGCTGCTCGTCTGGGAGCTGTCCAAGATGGAGCGCCAGGCGAAGGAGGCCGACCGCACGGCCCAGCAAAACGGCCAGCGTGCCGAGCAGCTCAGCCGCCGTCTGACGCGCAGCGAACAGCAGCTGGAGGCGAGCCGGGCCAGCCAGGCGCTGCTGCAGTCCGAGCTGGACGCGGCCGCCCAGAACTTGCACTGCGTGGAGCGGGCATTCGAGCACTCGTCCCAGCAGATGCAGAACTACGATCGCCAGGTGGCCAAGCTGAAGCAGCAGCTTCAGGAGAGCGAACGGCGCGCTGAGCTGGCCGAGCTGAATGCCGAGCAGCTGCAGCTCACCTCCGTCAAGCTGGAGCGGCGTCTCGAGGAGCGCTTCGATCATCGCTTGCGCCAGAAGCTAAACAATCTGGACCTGCAGCTCGTTGCCAAAGAACATGCTTAAATTCGAGCTCCCCAACGCACACACACACACACACACACATTCACACGCACGTCTCGTCCCCAAATTCTACAAGTTTAGTTTAGCACTCGACTATCGCTTCGATAATATGTTTTACGATATATTTTAGGTTTTACAACAATCAAACATTTCAACAAAAAAAAAAAAAGAAAACGAAAAAAAAAAAGAATATATAAAAAATTCAAAAAGTACGCCAAAGAGACTTTTTTCCATACTCTAGATAATCTTAAGCTCAGACATCAACTACTTTCGCTAAGCTAATAAGCCAAATCGAACAATCGATATTATCAATTTATCGATCAATCATATTCAAAATTTACTTTAGATTTCAGCTTCGTTAAAAAGCTCCGTGTTGAAAGAGTTATTTAAGAATTATCTGCTATCTATAGGACTTTTTGAGAGCTCATCTCACTTACTATTTGCGAAGTTGAAGCAAATCGAAGCTGCTTAAATTAAAACTGAAATTCTTTAAATACTTTGAAGTATTCCAAAAGTTTCTGCATTAATTAAAGTTGTTCAGTTGAAAATAATTGAAATTATTTAAGAGCCGAATATTGTAAAAAAAATTAAATAGATTATAAATTCATAGAAAASAAAATTGTTGTTACATATTAAAAATAGTTCAATATCTTCTTATATTT